AGCCTCTCACTAATGTGTAGTGTATCAGAGAGGCTAGTGTCTATTGCTCTCTAGTTTATATGGTGTAAACTTAGGGGAGAACTCTAAATATGTACAGTATATGTACAGTATTATCAAAGGAGCATCTACACTTTGCAGCTGTACAGTGTAGTGTATACTAAACCTTTGTCAGCTTTTCATGACTTTTTGTGTATTAATATTGAGAAGCTAAGCAACTCTTTTTAGTTGTCCACACAGTTTAGTGGTAAAACATTGATCGCCAGCATAACCATCAAAATCATCTTACATGTAAATCTACACTGAACAGGCTAGATATTTGAAAAATCCGAGTCCCTTTGTGTGTGAAATCTCTGTATTGTTGCTGCTGGTGACCTAAAGCTTGGTGCTGCAATTTGCATTATTTCAAGATGATTTAGATTGTTGCAGACCATAAGAAGCTGCATACTCAGCCATGCTATCTGGTCGTAACATGGCTGTTGATCTTTTTGCAAGACATTGCAATACTGTAATCACAACTGTATTATTTGAGGCAACTTCTTAGGTGACTGATATAAGTTTAAATTATGAGTACCATTAAAATATAGTTAATACTATTGCATTATATTCAGGGATAATTGCAAAGAAGATTTATCAAGAATGAAACTGGAACTAGAGAAAGAGAAGAAAGCAAAGGGTATTTGTTCTTTTTTTATTTTCCTTTACATTTTACTTCATGTAAGGTTACAGTACTATTATGACCTATTAAATGCCAACTCTCTTATGAACAGGGTTCATACAGGTTATGGAAAACCTGTAAAGTCATGAAACTGACGAATTTCATTTTCCATGTCTGGAAAGTGATGGAATTTAATATTATATATTGTTAGTCGTCAAAAGTCATGGAAAATTAATGTTATGTTAGATAATGCAGATGTCAAAGCAAGGACAATGTAAAATAAAGACAAGTAATTAAATGGCATGAAAATAATAATCAAAAGTGACATCTAACCCTAAGGCAGCCTGCATAGCATGGCAGTTTTGTCAGGAGAACTACTCCCCTAATCTCCTCACAGTTTATCTGCCCTCGCCTGCCTTTATTATTGCTGTTTATCATAAAAAGAGGGTACACTGTAGTACAATACAGTGAAACCTACGAGAATGCAGCCACTCCAAGTAATGACATAAGAGAAAATTCACAAAACATTCAAATTTCTCTTTGTGAAACCCAAGAAATGAACAGTCCTTTGTGAAATTCCTACCAGCAAGATTTCATTTGAATTATAGTACTAAAGGATTTTGTCCACAGATTAAAAGTTAGAGTGTAGCAAATAATAAAGTCACTGCAAGGTAGTCTACTGAACAAAAGGGTCAGTTTGGGATAGGGTTAGGGTTAAAAGAAGGAGGTGTGTCTTCTTAGTACGAGCTGTCCCCTAAGAGTGATCAACATCCAATTTCTCCTTGTAATATATATACTTTATAAAACAGAGTGGTCATGAGAATTATGTACATCATCACACAAGATGATACTTTCTCCTGGCAACCTATTCTGGAAATGTAGAGGGACTTCAGATTACAATTTTGATTTTCGTATAAGGGTTTAAATAAATACAATGATTAACGCAGGTTAATCGTATTTCAGTAGTGACTGAAGCATCCCGTGATACTAACAAAGCCTCTACAAAGTCCATGCTCAGCAAAAAGACAACCGGCAGGAAAGAGATGGAAAGTGAAGACACGGATGAAGAAAAGAAAAGCAAAGACAGTGAGGCAGGAAAAGGGGAGAAACCTACGCTGAGTATGGTGAAAGGGAATACTAGTAAAGAAGCAAGAAATACATCCTCTCCTAAAAACATCTCAAGTGAGGTTCAAGGGCAAGATAAAAACAAGTCTCGAAGCTATGAGTCCAGTGAACTTAAAACAACAAACCAAAGCATGTCTTTAACATCAAAACGTGCTAGTGCAGAAGACGACAGTGAAGCTAAAAAGATCAAGAAAGAAGATAAGAGTGATGATCAGGATAATGTTGGAGTTGAAAATGAGGGTGATGAGGATAATGCAAGAGAGAAACCTGCAGACGAGAAAAAGGAGGAAGACGCAGCGGCAGGTGACAACGGCGAGAATGATGGTGAAGAGGAGGGTGGTGACAATGAGGAGAATGAAGGTGAGGAGGAGATACTGGATGATGAAAAAGAAGTAGAGGAAGGCTTGGGTGAACCTAACAACCGTATGGTGCTGCCACGCCCAACAGGCCTCTCACAACCTGGTTTGCAGGATGAAGGAAGGGCTGTTAGATCCAGAATTCTTCGAGACAAAAAGGTAGGTTTCAGTGAAAAAAAAACAGTTTAGCTTTAATCTGTAGTGAGTTTTCTGGCTTAGTGGGTTTTTGGTACAAGGCTTGTGGGGTGAACAAATGGCAGGAGTCCATGTTGCGCTAAAAACAAAAGCATGTTTGAGTTGCTCAAACCTTAATTGTAAAATGGGCGTACACCGTAAATGTAAGCCTTGATATGAAAATGTTTTTTTCCTATCCTCAAGAACATGTGCCTCATATTCAGTCAAGAAAAATTTTGCACTGTGCCTCATACAGTGTTCAGGGCAAGCATATGGCAGTAGTAGTATGTTGTAAATGTCCAAGCATCAACAATAATTATAAAGATTTTTTAAAAAACTATATGTACGGTTGTAGTGATGTTAACAGCTTTTGATATGGTGTTTGTGTTTGTGATGTTTAGATTCCAGGAAGACTGGCTCCAGGTGGATTGTTGAGGGATCATCAGGTTGAAGAGGTACGGTACAATGTCTTCTCTTGAGTTGGTTTCCCATGTCATAAATTATCTTCATCCTTTAGCCGCAACTGTGATAGAATTCACAGCCTCTCTCCCAGATTTTTATTCATTATTAGATTTGCCATGGGCCCCATGACTCAGAAGATTGCGCAAAAAATGTTTCAGTGTTTAATTTGCGATCGAGACAGTCAGAAGTCAGTCTACAAAAACGTACAATGTAACTGTGCCTTACTTTCTCAACCTACAGAAGTTTTGGAACAAATTTTCGTTTGTCTGCTTTTTTTTAAACCGGCACATGCCTTACCCCTCCCCCACCTCAAATACTAAATGGAACCCATGTATTCACAATTCTTCTTGACGTTTCAACATTATAGAAGGTGGGTTAGGGAGAACTGCTAGGCAATTGTAAAAAGATAGCTAATATTCACCCTATTAATGAATGTTATATTATAATAATTTATTCATCAACTTACATTTATATTAACTTACATTATTATATTTTATTTTTTATTATAGGGTGATGAAATGTGAGACAATGTTATATAAATTCGATGAAAACCTGTTTGAAAGGCTGGTGTAAATTGCAGATCAGTATTCTCACATTACCAGACAACTATGACTAGCAGTGTATTTCTCTGCTTTTTGTCATTTTGGAACTGTGAAATTTGTAGCTTTGTGTCTAACATTAGGAGCAATTACTGTCAAACTCAGAAAACTGTGAACACCTGAAAAATTTCAGGAATGTTGATTGTGTACTGGCCAATCACAGTTAAGTTCAGGATATGCAAGCACACCTCAAAACCACAAACTAATTACCGTTGCTGTTTGCGGTTAGTGTTCTAGCGCCCTATTGGCTTGTTTCTCGCAATACAATAACACAATAACAATCTATAAATATTTCTGGTGTTCACGGTTTTGTGAGTTTCACAGTAAGATCTTTCCTAGAAATGGTGGTAGATCAGTCAATATTAGTTTTTGGGCAGAGGGATCATGCTGTTGTGGTTCAATTTTATCCTTGGATCAAAATTATTTTTCTTTGTTTTTGTTGTTTTTTTTTTATATAACATAGAATAAAAAAAGAAATAGTATTGGAACCAAGCATAACACTGGTCTACAGCACATGCCAGTCAGCCATATGAATGCCCCTATAATGGGCAGAGTTCAAAAGAAAGGAGAATAGAATACAGCCACCATTTATGAAAAAGGCTTGTTTTCCTTTACCTTGTGACTTGTTTTAAGGAAAATCAACTCCTTCCTGTAGTTGTTTTTTCTTCTAATATGCACCGTATTTTCCCAATGGAGGGTCGATTCCATCAAAATCAAAGTAATCATTATCTTAAGTCCTTTTCACACCAAACATTAAACATGTTTAAACACTGTTCAATTAAACACGGTTTGAAATTGTTTCGTTCAAAAAAGAGGTTTACTGACTTAAATTGATTGCAAACTTAGAGTAAATTACAAAACATGTTGAATTTCATTTGAAACCTGTGTAAAAACCCAATGTTCCAGTTTTCCGTGTCTGCTTTTCATTTTCCAATTTTTTTCAACCTGGTTTAATAAAACACGTCGAGTTTGGTGTGAATTGGGCATGAGTCTCTTAGATAGTGAAGTATTCAATGGCACAGTTAGAGACCATATAAAGGTGTCCACTTTGTCCAACATTTTTATCCTTTTGCAACCCTCTTTTAGCTTCTGATAGAAAATTTGCACAAATATTTGGAAAATCAAGGTGTTAGCTGTATCGTGTAAACTAATCGTGACGCTTCAAAATAGGATTAACGAAAGTTGTCCTTAGGGGCAGGAGATTGTAGAGTACTCCACGTTCTCTTGACGCAGGAAGGACCCGTAAAGTGTTGTTGACGAGCTAACATAACGAAGGCGAAAACAGCCAGGGAATCTCTTATAAAAAATATTCCCACTCTTTTAAACTTGAACGTGACCATTTCAAATCTCTCAATTTGTCAAATGGTGTCGAATTTTTCTTGAATTCAATAGTTGGGGACCTCGTCCAAGTTCAAAAGAATCAGCAAAATTTGTTCTTACGTTTCTACGCCTTCCATAGAACTTTGCATTGAAAAAAGTGTGATGCTCGAGAAATAGTTGACGGTTTTGCTCATTGCTTTTTCACCTTCTCGTTGTCGCCCTCGTTAGTACCTGAAAATTTTTTGAATTAATTTTAGGGTGTTTATGTCAGAGGAAAAGAACACAAACAAGAGTTATGATCCAACATTGCATTTGTGCACCATCAAAACAACGATTTTTTTTCTTATTCCTTTACTAAAAACATAGTTAGAAACGATGAGCCAAAACTGTCAAACGTTCGATGATAATCTAACAGGGTCATGGCATCTGTCTCTATATTTATAGGATCTTTACATCTTTATATTATTATCATCATTATTATTATTATTATTATTATTATTATTATTATTATTATCAGTATCAGTATCATTATCATTATCATTATCATTATCATCATTATTATTATTATTATTATTATTATTATTATTATTATTATTATTATTATTATTATTATTTTAGTGAGCAGATGAGTAAAACTCAATCTTCCGTCAGTATGAATGATCCGGGTATGTGTTTCTCCTGATAATGCCCCTGACAATTTATTTAAACAATAACGATCCGTAGGAATTAATTCAAAACGTTTTGGTAGCTTTATACGTCAAAGTTAGGAATGCTTTGTAGCCTGTTATTTATTCATGTGGTTTGTATTTTAAGGGAAATATTCTCAAATAAAATTTGACGTAGAGAAGCATGTTTTATGTACTCAGTGGTTATAGAAGTTTTTGTTATGAATCGTCGACTTTGAATGTAAACTTTTGTCGAGGAAACTAAAAACGGGGCTTCAGCTGCGCTCTTACATCTCGTGCCTTTCGGAATAAAGTTCCGATCGAAATATAAAAAGCAAAATATCACACCATTTCCAAGAAACGAACAACTTTGACCTTGTCTTGCCTCTCGCTGGAGTACAAAGCCTTAAGAATGAAGAATATTGTTTTTACTTTCCAGATAAACAACCCATAGTTCCCCCCCCCCCCCCAAAAAAAAAGAAAAAAAAATTAAGAAAACATGAACGTTTTACATTAAGCTACTTTTTTCAGAACATTAAACATTGTAATTTAAACTCGAAAAGTAGCATCAGTATTCTGTTAATAACTGTTTGGGGCTCCTGGGAAGTTATTATTCACGAGAAAATGATACAAGGAGCGTTCGTCATCGAACAGTTTACAGTCGTGGTACTAATGATACACAAAGTTTTTTCTCGCTTGGTGATACTCTGGATCTTGAAAGTTTTGGGCCATCATTGAAAGTTCGTTTGCTCGGCAAGTTTCAACAGTCTCCATCACTTCTTTTCTAACTTTTCTGTTCTTTTTTCGAACAAAGTGCATCTGCAAAGGCGACCGCGCAAGAAACGATGCTTGATGCTTCACCCAGCTTTCAAACTCCTCTGCATCGTCCCCCAAGCAGCCATCTAAGAGGCCAATTTCTGCAGCTTCACAGGCCAGGATGGGTTCGGCATTGGACAGGAGCTCGTTCGCTTTATCTTGTCCCACGCGCTTTGGAAGGAAGTAAGTGTGATACTCCGAACCGTAAAGCTTCATCTTCTTGTAATGTGGGTTCAACACAGCTGCCTCCCGAGCAAATGCAAAGTCGCTCGCTAAGGCCATCATCACTCCACCGGCGCCTGCATTTCCACGAAGCGCAGAGATCGTGATCTTTTTACTAGTGAAGATGCGGCGCACCACATCGTTAATGGCATTGATGTTGTTCCACGATTCTTGGGCTGGGTCTTCGGCTGCCTCGATGACATTCAAGTGGATGCCATTACTGAATACATCATTGCCACCCATGAGGACCATTACCTTGCAGAAATCATTTTCTTCCACCTGTCGAAGGACGGAAATAAGGCGTTCACACTGATTGGTGCTCATAGCCCCGTTATAAAAGTCGAAGTGCACGAAGCAGACGCCGTCTGGGGTCATGCTTGTCCAAACATCCTGGAAAGTGTTAGGATGCGAGCCATACCGAATGGGTAGATTTGACACATCTTTAATAGTTGGTGCCCCTGTTCGTAACCACATGTTGGCAGGAAGTTTTAGCTTGTCTCTCTTGAGATGTGACACCCAAACAGCTCCCCTACCACACTTCACTAGAAGAGATCCATGACGCTGACCCAGTATCTCTCCAGGTTTTCCAGGCAGAAATCGGAGTTTTCCTTTCTCCAAGTGCGCTCCAAAGACACGAAACGCCTTGGTCCATTCGTTGTCCTCTGTGCCTTGGCTGGTGCGAAAACAGGCGTGAGCTCCTGGTGATGAATCAGACATACGTATCTGACAAGCTATCTCATCTGCTGGCATCTCCCAATTGATAGAGCGGTCAACTTTGGTCATGTTTGAGCGAAGGGTGCCTCGCACGTGTGGACTACTGTAATCAAGAGGTCGTGGTGATGTTCCCTCTGATAGATTCTCAATTGCCTCAAGTACAGCTTCAACGGCTGCTTGAGTGACTTCGTTGACATACAAGCTCGACTTGGTCAGTGTGTTGATATTTCGTCGCCTGATTTGAAAGTTCTTAGTGCTCCAAATGTCTCCTGCGTCCATTTCCTCAGCAGCTTGTAATACGGTCACTCCCCATTCGTCTTCCCTGTCATATAGTGCCCAGTCGATGGAACTTGCACCACGGTCACCCTCGATTCCAGGATGGACAATCCAGCAAGGAATTCTTGTCTTAGAATACACTTCCTCTGGGATTCGTTTGGTGAGGAACGGACAAAGAATTAAATCAGGTTGGACATGCTCCGCAAGATGGATCATCTCTGATGGTTCGTTGATTTCATTCACTTGAATGTTATGTTGTCTCTTTGTTAATTCCAGTGCCATTCTTTGACTGAGGCTATTGTGTTTGTTTGAGAAAAACAGGATGTTCAGCTTTTTTCCGAGTTCTGGGAAAGTTGAAATTCTCTCTGGTTTTAGGTACTGGGATTTCAGTCGTCTGTGAAGGGGCGACAGGATCCATGGCTTTAGGAAAGTTTGCAGGGTAGTTATTCTCAACATCTTCACAACAATCGTGACTGAACTTGCCAACCTAAAGAAAAAGCAAAGATAACAAACGTTTTACAAATAGCTTCTTCAGCAATAGTCTTAGTTTTAGGCGCGAATAAGCCATTTAGATGCATTTTCTTTGTGAGTTATTAGACTTATTACAGCAATTGTCCCGGCCCTTAATTAGTTACTCATTGGCTGGAATGCTTAAGAATACAAGTAATAACTACATATCAAATAGATAAAGACGCGCGTTATAAACAACAATCGAAAAACAATCCGACCGACTGGGTTAGATTGAGTTCGATTGATTTCTAGTTCGGTTTTGTTCGATTAGCTACGTCTGGTTTTTGTGATACCCGGAATAATCAAGGCCGAGGTAAATGTTACGGATTATCCTCGGTCTTCGGCTCGGCAGATAACCTTGATTTTTCCGGACATCATGAAAACCGAATCTAATAATTGTTTGCTCATACATTAATTCATAAGAAAATAAGGAAAAACACAGCATCATGTGGAACACAGTTTGACATAGCTCTTGGAAATCATGCATTGCGCGGCCAACCCCCAGTACAGATTAGCAGATAACTGACTAATTTGTAGGTTGCGCTGTTTTCCAAATCAAATTAAACGTAAGTTCTTAGCTAATGAGAAGACAGATAGTGAGTACAATGTATTATAATGCCGATTATCAGTACTTTAGTATAATTACTCAGGTGATTATAGAGATTCGCGCACTCTGATTGGTCAAGGATTGCGTCATGTGTCGTTATAATCACTCCGCGTGGGGTGATTATGGCGTTTTCTTCTTACTTTGTACGAGATTAAGAGTGAACTGTGAGAAACACTGAGTACAATGGAAGAAAAACTGATTTTAAAACCTCTTAACCAACCGGTCACTTTCGGACCACTGTCCAAATTTCGTCACATATGTGCGTCATTACGTAAAGTTACAGCTTAACGACTTATTCCTAGCAACAACCGCAAAAGATAGGATAATGGACCCTTAAAGAGACAGGAGCAAATCGTATCAGTGATCCTTAAAGCACTATTAAGTTGACTACCTTATTTGCCAAGACGAATTTTGGATAACTGATACTCAATCTCCCACAGGGTGTGATAGAAAGAAAACATCACAAGTTTTATACTCTCGTTGCATGAAAAGTTCTCCAAGAACAGAGAAGCGAAGTGTCCCAGGCAAAAGGCAAAAAATATAATGTGTACGTCTCCGATAAAAGAAAACGAATTCAAAGGCATTATTACCTGTTTTGTTTTTTTATCAACGAGAATAATTATGCATGGTTTGATTAAGTCAGGGGCACCCAACGACCGAACGTTCCTAAATACGCCAGAAGTGTCTCAAATGGTTTTCTCTGTTGTTTAGAAATCCTGTTTGGTTAATTTGGAGTTGCGCTAAAAACTATTTATCTGTTCGGATGTCTTAGGAGAACTATGGTTGTCACGAAAGTCTCAGGTGGCTTTTTCGTCTCATCCGAAAGTGGTAGCTACCCTTATGGGTCCGGTCGAAAGTTTTAGGACATGAAGTAGCCTAGTTTTACTAGAAAATTATAGAGGACGTTTCGTCCAGTTAAACCGAAATTTTTAGGAGACCTTTTTTGACAATAATCGCAATATCTTGCTATCAAAATGTGAATAACACACCTCCGAAAATCGTAGTTAAGCTGTTAGAAAACCTCCGAATATTTGAGACGAATGGAACAGTTATCCAGAAATTTTGAGCTTTTCTCAAGCTTTAGAAATTTCTAGGCAATATTTGCTCCGTCAAACAGTTATTTTACAGAAAAAAGTCGCTGGGTGCCTCTTTTAAGTAATAATGAAAGAACGTTAGAAACCGTTGTCGCGTTCCCAGACCAGTCCCAGTATTTAAAGCAGTAGAGGTGAAAAGTAAATCAGAAGGGAAACTAAGCGATTTCTAACGTGACTGTGGAACAAATAAAATGTGACTTACGTTTGATTTCACTCCGGCTGGGGTTAATAGCCCCCAAATCTCCTATATTTCTAATTGCTCCAAAACAATTTACAGCTGAATAAATGTGCTTGGAGAAAATTCTATTAAATTACCTCAATTTCTGACGTAAAGGAAAAATAAGTATATGCACTAAGTGCTCTTTGCATCAATAGTGAAATGAATAAAGACTTCCGCTAGTTTCCGGTTCATGAGATGGTGTTTTCAGAGCTTAAGTCCTCGCCCTGTCCCGTTCGTGTCCTTTAACACGCTGATATGACAATAGCACTTCTCATTCTTAGGTACGTTTTTTGACGCTACAGTAACCACAGGTGATTGTTTTAAAATCAGTGACGTGTTCATTCTTGGGCGTACGGTAGCCCGTAAGGGACATTACAATATATTTTTTCCCTTAAGTTATCGCGCAATAATTTCAACTTATCGCGCGATAAGTTGAAATTATCGCGCGATAATTAGTCAGTTAATCGCGCGATAAGTTTGAATTATCGCGCGATAATTAGTCACTCCCAGTTTATCGCGCCATAAATGAGAAAATGTAAAAACTATCGCGCGATAATTAGTCAGTTTGAGAAAATGCAAGGGGTGACAGGCCGCACATCTATACCGGCGTGAAACCTTGTGTAAACCTTTTATATTTTAGCTCTAACGAGCATGTCCTTTAGGGATTTTCCTTTCTTCTTGGTTCTTTAAAAATTTGGCGAAGTGAAGGTGGGTTTTGTGTAAGATTCCATTTTTTCAGTAAAACTTCTTTTAAAGTAGACACTGAGGGCTTGTACTGTGTCACGAAACGCAATAATTTTTTTCCTCTTCGTTGTTGTGTTTCTGGAGTGCAGACTCCCTCTCTGTGAACTTTATATCTGATAGAAGGTGGTAGCCTCTGTCAATCAAGCGTTTTTTGAAATTTGAAATATTTTCCTCAAAAGTAGTTTTTGAGGAGTTTGTTCGTAGGATTCTCAAGGGTTCTTCTTTGACAAATCTTTTTTAACACTCGGCTTGTGACAAGAGGTGAAATGTGTGTACTGGAAGGTTTCCGTTCTTTTAAAATGTGTCTTTACGTCAACGATAGATTTTTCCTTGAATCTTGTGCCTTTGTATACAACCGTGTCTAAAACACAGTCTCAGTGCCAGATATTTCGGCCGTGAATTTTATAGTTGGGTGATGTATTAAAGTTTGCTTGTTCGATGTACGCTTCGCGATTCGATGTCTGGTTTACTTATGTCCCACAGGGAAAAGATATTGTCAATGCAGCGTTTCCAAACTGTAGGTTTAAAAACGGTTCTGCTTAGAATTGTGGTTTAGGTGTTTGAGATTAGGTGTTTGAGATAGTCATTTTCTTTTCATGTCATCAATATGATTTTCACAGTGAAGATCCGTAATTAGGCGCAAGACCTTGCTGTACGTTTCTTTCACCATGGGTTGAGAGAGAGGTCTGTAGTTATGTTTGTCGCCGATTTGTATTTGACCCTCTCTTATTTTGTCAGTTTTGTTCATGAACATATTCCACATGTCAAGCAAAGTCGTGTAGTTAGAAGTGTAATCAGTTAAAATAAATCTAACCACATAGTCGGATCATAGGTTTTCCTGTGAGGTGAATCACGTCAAACGTCAATAACGTCATGCTTCACCCCGATGTTCCTTTCTAATCCTCAGTAGGATGTACTACTCAACTTTTAAAATAAGTGTTGAGTTAGCCACGACACCGGGCTGACGAAGAACCGTGTGGGGTCTTTTCAATCATGATGTCCCAAAAGGATCTGACCTTGTAATCAATAAACGTGATTTGGAAAAATTTGTTATAATGCATGCCTTTCTGACGGAAAGGATAATTCGCTGTAGTTATGAAATGACAGTCTTTGTTCACGGATCACGAGATAAACCATTGAAGTACCAAAACCATTGTTTTAAAACAGTGGGGAGGGAGAGATTTTGCTACGCTAACTTGTTGGTTTATTTTAATTCACCGGGTTCACATTTTTCAAGCACATGCTGACCTCTTATTATTCTTTGCAGTATTATGACCCAGCTTAGTTTTACGAGTCTTTTCTCCGACCTGACAGTTTTAAACAGGTTGTTACAAAGTCAATGTACAATGACGTCTTTGAAAATTTTACTTCTATCGATCAAGAATTCATTTCTTCGTTGATCCCTTTGTTTCTCTTTTCAATCAACACTGCTCATTGCCCAAAAAATCTGTTAAAACGGTTTTTGCACGTATTATTTTATAAAAGAACAAAGGCGCACACATGCAGTTAACGGAAAGATGCTGGCTTAGAAAAGAGAAACCTCAAGCAGGAAAGCCAAGACATCCGGAGGCGCAGAGCGTCAAGGAAGTTGGAAGCTTTTTTTTAAAACTGATGATCAGGACGGTATCTTGAAAACGGACAAAGTTTATCTGCGCAGAGGACATCTTTTCGAAACGGAATCGTTTCTTCCTATAAATTACGTGATAGATTAAAGTCTTAATAATAATAATAGAATAATGATGATAATAATAATATTAACGTCTTTATTCATTTGATTAAAATACACATCAAAAGTTACAATGGTGGAGTCTCAGTTATTTTTAAAAATACTAACTAACATGGTCTAACAAGCGCTTAAAATTTCAAAAGTAACATCATAAAGGTAAGTTAACCTCTGGTAACTTTAGATTGCTAATGCTGCAATACATGTCATCGGTCACTGTTAATATTTTAAGGGTGAATAATATACTGTATGAAAATTCCCTTTCTACTATAAAAAGTCGCGTTTCTTTTTATAAATCATAAAATATCAATTTTGAAATGGAAACATCTACCTTTTTAAGAAGATAGAGAACGAAGACTAGATTCCACTTAAATTGGAAAAGAAACCTCTGATGTAGAGAAAAAAACCTGCTGGACGAAATGTCATCGATTTTTTTTGTCAATTTTTCACACTCAGCGCCTCTATTTCGATTATATGTTAAGTTTTTGCTTTATACTTCCACCGTTATTCATTTAAACACTGCATAACATTTTAGATGAGACAAATTTAAAATGGCTACACCTGGAAATTTTTTTAAGGCGAGAATAGACTGCAACTTAGTAATGTCCTTATCCTAGAGAGGTTTTTTCATACTGACAACTGAAACTATTTGAAATGACAAAGTGCTTTAACCAAATCGGTCTAGCTCAGTTGCTATAAACTGTGGGGGTGACATTACAGTTGCTGTAACTAACGCTGTACTCCTCACTTTATCATATCATGGGTCGATTCAACTTTTTAAGTTCAGATTGATTGAATACCAAGGTATGATCATTACACTAAATAAATGATACTTTAATGATAAACAAAGTTCTTCCTCGCTTGGTGATACTCTGGATCTTGAAAGTTTCGGGCCATCATTGAAAGTTCATTTGCTCGGCATCTTTCTACAGTATCCATCACCTCTTTGCTAACTTTTCTGTTCTTTTTTCGAACAAAGTGCATCTGCAAAGGCGACCTCGCAAGAAACGATGCTTGATGCTTCACCCAGCTTTCAAACTCCTCTGCATCGTCCCCCAAGCAGCCATCTAAGAGGCCAATTTCTGCAGCTTCACAGGCCAGGATGGGTTCGGCATTGGACAGGAGCTCGTTCGCTTTATCTTGTCCCACGCGCTTTGGAAGGAAGTAAGTGTGATACTCTGAACCGTAAAGCTTCATCTTCTTGTAATGTGGGTTCAACACAGCTGCCTCCCGAGCAAATGCAAAGTCGCTCGCTAAGGCCATCATCACTCCACCGGCGCCTGCATTTCCACGAAGCACAGAGATCGTGATCTTTTTGCTGGTGAAGATGCAGCGCACCACATCGTTAATGGCATTGATGTTGTTCCACGATTCTTGGGCTGGGTCTTCGGCTGCCTCGATGATGTTCAAGTGGATGCCATTACTGAATACATCATTGCCACCCATGAGCACCATTACCTTGCAGAAATCATTCTCTTCCACCTGCCGAAGGACGGAAATAAGGCGTTTGCACTGATTGGTGCTCATAGCCCCGTTATAAAAGTCGAAGTGCACGAAGCAGACGCCGTCTGGGGTCATGCTTGTCCAAACATCCTGGAAAGTGTTAGGATGCGAGCCATACCGAATGGGTAGATTTGACATGTCTTTAATAGTTGGTGCGCCTGTTCGTAGCCACATGTTGGCAGGAAGTTTTAGCTTGTCTCTCTTGAGATGTGACACCCAAACAGCTCCTCTACCACACTTCACTAGAAGAGATCCATGACGCTGACCCAGCATCTCTCCAGGTTTTCCAGGCAGAAATCGGAGTTTTCCTTTCTCCAAGTGCGCTCCAAAGACACGAAACGCCTTGGTCCATTCGTTGTCCTCTGTGCCTTGGCTGGTGCGAAAACAGGCGTGAGCTCCTGGTGATGAATCAGACATACGTATCTGACAAGCTATCTCATCTGCTGGCATCTCCCAATTGATAGAGCGGTCAACTTTGGTCATGTTTGAGCGAAGGGTGCCTCGCACGTGTGGATTACTGTAATCAAGAGGTCGTGGTGATGTTCCCTCTGATAGATTGTTAATTGCCTCAAGGACAGCTTCAACCGCTGCTTGAGTGACTTCGTTGACATACAAGCTCGACTTGGTCAGTGTGTTGATATTTCGTCGCCTGATTTGAAAGTTCTTAGTGCTCCAAATGTCTCCTGCGTCCATTTCCTCAGCAGCTTGTAATACGGTCACTCCCCATTCGTCTTCCCTGTCATATAGTGCCCAGTCGATGGAGCTTGCACCACGGTCACCCTCGATTCCAGGATGGACAATCCAGCAAGGAATTCTTGCGTTAGAATACACTTCCTCTGGGATTCGTTTGGTGAGGAACGGACAAAGAATTAAATCAGGTTGGACATGCTCCGCAAGATGGATCATCTCTGATGGTTCGTTGATTTCATTCACTTGAATGTTATGTTGTCTCTTTGTTAATTCCAGTGCCATTCTTTGACTGAGGCTGTTATGTTTGTTTGAGAAAAACAGGATGTTGAGCTTTTTTCCGAGCTCTGGGAAAGTTGAGACTCTCTCTGGTTTTAGGTACTGGGATTTCAGTCGTCTGTGAAGGGGCGACAGGATCCATGGCTTTAGGAAAGTTTGCAGCGTAGTTATTCTCAACATCTTCACAACAATCGTGACTGAACTCGGCTACCTAAAGAAAAAGCAAACAAACGTTTTACCAATAGCTTCTTAATAGTCTTAGTTTTAGGCGCGAATAAGCTATTTAGACCCATTTTCTTTGTGAGGTATTACAGCAATTATTCCGGCTCTTCATTAGTTACTCATTGGCTGGAATGCTAAAAAATTCGAATAATAACTACATATCAAATGGAAAAAGACGTTATTTAACAATTAATGAATGAGGCTGAGTATCTTATGAAGATTTATGGAGAACGAGGAGGATGTTACCCGTCGAAGCCGTAGGGTTGAAACACTGCGCCTTAAAGAGCCTGGAACATCTTTCTTTCAATTCTGTAAGGTTGTTTTTAATATCACGTACTTTTGTTTGCAGAATGGTGATTTTGCCAATCTGTTGCTGAAATAACTTATGGGTAAGCTTACTCTCCATATTTTAATTTCCCCAAAGAACTGAACAGTTTGTTGTCCATAATTTTAACTTCATCAACAAGAGAACTCAGCTTTGAAGTTATTTGTGTGCCTTTCTCAATGTTGTTGGTAATTCTGATATTATTGCTAGGAACTAAGCTATAACCACTGTCAAAATCATACTTCGGCAGGATTTTCTTTATTCATCATAGAGTCCATTTGTTTCTCAATATACCATCAATTTGCTGCTTCAGTTGGTAAAGCTGTCTTCCCAAGGCTGTGCTCTAAGGAAAAATGAAGGGAGCCCAGGGCTCTGAAACTGTAAAATCTAAGGTGCCCAGCATAAGATTTGTATAGAAAATCTGAGGTTTTCTAGTCGCGCAAGGGCAAACGTTAGGCGGCAGGGGCCACGGGGTTCTGCTAGAGCACAGCCCTGCTTCCTGTCCCATATTTCGAGTTTTCATAATACTGACTCGCCCTAGTGTATTGCAAGAACTAGATTTTATCATTTATACAAGAAGGAGAGGGTCATGATATTTTAGGCCAAGCTCAAGGGGAGGGTGAGCAAATTTCACTCCCATTGCAGGGATGGGTCACCTCATTTCCGAACCCAAATTTAAAATTCCCACCCCTCTCCCCCCTGCTAACTTCAGACAAGCCCCTTAGTAAATTGAAGGATAGTGATGTGACAGTAAACTGTACAACACGAGCTAAGTCCTCTTAGGCCTGGGCCGAACGTCTAACGTTTATGAGAGGAACCAAACGTGTGAGTTAACTTCATGAAAAGTTCGACGTCTGGCTCTGTTGAGTTCGTCCGAATGAGTTTGGATCGTCCAACTGGTTCTATCCGTCTGCTTCGGACGGATAGAACACTGCAAGATCGTCTCAGGCGTGAGAAACGTCGATCTTCATATCCCACAATCCGACAAACTAAACTGATAAATATAAAATTTGTTTGACTAAATGCATGTTTAGCTTGCTCGAGAGAAAATGTTTTACTGATCTGATTCAGTTGATTGGTTCGACAAATCCTCAGTTCGGCGTCTGACGCAAGCGACTATCTAAACTTAATTTAGGTAGATATTAGATATTAGAATTTGGTTCGCCTCATTTAGAAAATCAAGTTAACGCTTTATAAACACAGTTTGGTTAATATTGTCTCGTTGAATTTAGCAATTTTCTGATTCTATGGTCTACAGCATTTAGAAAACGCTTCAGTTGACAAGTGGAATTGCCTTTTAGTGCAACATTAGCGTAATGAAATGTATGAATTTGTTTGTAGCCTAGATGTTTTGCACGCTGAGCCAGAGCGGAAAGTCTGCATTTGAAAAAGATAAGATAATTTTGGTGTACAATAACGGTTACGTTAATTTTTTAAAATTTCATATTGATCGGCAGAAAATTCAGCCCCAAGTGCCCTGATAGATAAATGACCTTTTTCCTTTTTGAACTTGCTTTTAAATTATCCGAACGATTTCCCTTCGGTTATTATTATTCAGGGTATGCGCACAGGGTATGGTTTTTCAGGATGTTGACCGGGGACTTTGCAAAGGGATACAATTTAAGAAGGTGAAGGTTGGCGTGAGTCCTCTACAGGTCATTTATTAAGATTTTTTTCCCAAAAGAAATTAATTCCATGATGTTGGTTTAAAAAGGTACTTTTAATGATTTACTGCATTCAAAATAAATCTACCTGGAGTTATGAAAACCGGGTTAGCGAACATTTTGTAATTTTTCGCAACTTCCCCTCTTTAATCACTTGACATATGCATGTTTACTGTGTTGTTTGCTTATTTCGTTTTTTTTGCTTGTTTTGTGGCTAGGGATTTGTGTAGAAGTGGATCTAGGTAGAAATACTATCATACCCCCCCTCCCCCTCCCGATTTTTTTGCCTACCCACAATTCTTTCTTTAAGACTCTTTAACACAGGAGTTGCATGAGGGATAGAATCTTTGAGGTGTGACTCTACATCCGGGAACTTGAATAAGACGAGTGTAAGAGAAAAGTCCAGGGGTGTTTATCTGGCAATAGGCTGCGTTTTTCCGAGTTATTCGATGATATTTCGCTTATGTCAAACTTGAGAAGATTATGTAAGGGTTATCGGCCTGAAGCGAGGGGTTATGTGATGCGCCCGAGGGCAACG